ATCCTCTGTACCTCCATCCTCTGTGCTCTGCACCTCCATCCTCTGTACCTCCATCCTCTGTACCTCCATCCTCTGCACCTCCATCCTCTGTGCTCTGCACCTCCATCCTCTGCTCCTCCATCCTCTGTACCTCCATCCTCTGTACCTCCATCCTCTGCACCTCCATCCTCTGTGCTCTGCACCTCCATCCTCTGCTCCTCCATCCTCTGTACCTCCATCCTCTGTACCTCCATCCTCTGTACCTCCATCCTCTGCACCTCCATCCTCTGTGCTCTGCACCTCCATCCTCTGCACCTCCATCCTCTGCACCTCCATCCTCTGTGCTCTGCACCTCCATCCTCTGCACCTCCATCCTCTGCACCTCCATCCTCTGCACCTCCTCTGTAGCTCCATCCTCTCCGTCCTCTGTGTCTCTGTCCTCTGTGTCTCCGTCCTCTGTGTCTCCGTCCTCTGTGTCTCCGTCCCTGTGTCTCTGTCCTCTGTGTCTCTGTCCTCTGTGTCTCCGTCCTCTGTGTCTCTGTCCTCTGTGTCTCTGTCCTCTGTGTCTCGTCCCTCTGTGTCTCTGTCCTCTGTGTCTCAGTCCTCTGTGTCTCTGTCCTCTGTGTCTCTGTCCTCTGTGTCTCTGTCCTCTGTGTCTCCGTCCTCTGTGTCTCTGTCCTCTGTGTCTCCATCCTCTGTGTCTCTGTCCTCTGTGTCTCTGTCCTCTGTGTCTCTGTCCTGAGGTGAAGTTGGGGTGAGGTGGCTCTTTATGTGTTGTGTCCTGTTCTGTTGAGGTTGCGATGTGAGTCATGGCCTTGTTGTTGAGTTCTGTTCGGTCGGGTTTGGGGAAGACGGAATATTCTTGCAGCTGTGGTTGTGATGTGTGTGAGTTTGGCCTTGATTTTTGTTTTACTGAATTTACAGAAAAAACGAATGAAAAGGCAGCGTACATTATTCTAGAGAGTATTTCACTTTGAGTGAATTAAAAAACATCCACAGATTGATAAATCCCTCCACAACCTGCAGAGTTAAGAATAGTTTCACTTTTTTTCCCGTCTAATTTTGACTTCTTTCTTTATAAAGAATTTCTTAAAAATGTTCAGCTTGTTTGTCACTGGAGTTTCATATAACTCTATAAGGGGTGATGGTGTATAGAGACTAATTCATTTTTTTTAAAATGCTCTGCAAACCTGAAGTAGCTGCAGGTGAAACACGTTGTTCGCTCACACTAAAGTGACAGTAAAGTCATTTTCAGTGTGCCATGGATTATCAATTTATTCTTCATGGTATGTTCCTGCAACTGAGCGGCACCTGAGGACGTAGGATGGCTCTGCACGGGGGGGGGTACCCTGTTGGTCCTTCATATTTTGAAAATCAAAGTGAAGTCCAGATGTTTTTGAAAATGTCTCTATTTTCTTGACAATTACAGCCAACCTCGTCTTCAGCTGCTGCTCGGTTGCATGAAAAATAAAAACAATGAAAAGTAAATAAACTGTGGGACACTGAAAATGACATTTAGATTTACACTCACTATGAAAGGAGGATGAATTCTTTAAAAGGCGCCCCTGTTTGAAAAGTCAGCTTAAAACGATGATAATGAATTTCTTTAAATCACAATAATATTTGTATTTCTCCGCCTATTTTCAGACATCTGTTCTGATGAATATAGAATAATTCTGAGCAGCTGAAGTACTGCTCACAAACTTAAATGTGTGGGGCGCCTGATAGCATAGCGGTTATGTCGTGCAGCCCAATCTACAGAGGCTTTGCAGAGGCCGTGGGTTAGAATCCGACCTCTGCCCTTTGCTGCTCCACTCTCTCTCCTCCCAATGTGACCTCTCCCTCTCTTCATCTGTCCCATCAGCTCAAGATCAATTCATCGATAACATGCAAAAATGGCTTAAAAATATCATTAATAATGTATTTAAATTATCTGCTTTACCCTTGTTTTGTTTGAGCGATCTTTGTTTGTGGTGGTTGGTCTTTGAGATTACTCTCTGCTGTTTGTTGATTGGATAAAACTGCAGGGGGGGCGGAAGGGGGGTGTTAATTAGACCACATGGTGACAACAAAACAAACACACTCAGTGTTGACACTGATGACAGATTGTGTGACAAAGATTGTGTGTGTGTGTGTGCGTGTGTGTGTGTGTGTGTGTGTGTGTGTGTGTGTGTGTGTGTGTGTGTGTGTGTGTGTGTGTGTGTGTGTGTGTGTGTGTGTGTGTGTGTGTGAGCATTCATGAGGTGAAAGCCTGGGTCGACATTCCCCCCCCTCCCCCCGACAGGGAATGGAGGTCCCCTTTTAGATAGGGAGAAATCACTCAAGCCTGTAAGTCTCCTCTTGGCAACTTCTATATAATTTTTTTTTTATAACAAAAAACACATTTGAAGTAATATTATATTTAAAGACATCACAAGTAAATGTGGTATTACTTTTTTGCATTTTTAAAATGACAAGAAAGACAAGTCCACATTTGTACTGTGTACAATTATAGTCCCCTGTTAGTAAGGTACGCGAGTGTGTGTGTGTGTGTGTGTGTGTGTGTGTGTGTGTGTGTGTGTGTGTGTGTGTGTGTGTGTGTGTGTGTGTGTGTGTGTGTGTGTGTGTGTGTGTGTGTGTGTGTGTGTGTGTGTGTGTGTGTGTGTGTGAAATAACAAAAGCAGAATTTTCAGAATAAAAGATAAATAAATAATTGGCAACATAAATCAGTTTTATTAAATAGGTTTTAGTTAACTCTCCTCTGAAGAGCATCAGAGGGACACTTTCCCTTCGACTGTTTTTAAAACATGTTTCAGCACTTCATGCGTCTGCAGAGTTTATTTTTTTGTGACAGTACAATTCAAAACAACTGTTTCCTTTGGCGATCGTCGACTAACAAAGACGAAAACACAACAAACAAAATCTCAGCGCTCTGTTTGTTATTTATTAAAGCTTTTAATTTGATATGTTTAGGTCCTGAAGCTCTCCCACTTTTTATAAGTTTACAAATATTTTATTCATTTTGACTTTAAAAGGAATTATCAGCAACAAACAGATGATTCCAGACACAGAAATTAATTAAAAAAAAACAAGATTTTGACAACTCTGTAGATCGTCTGTGATCATCTTAAGGCGAACTAACCGCCCACGTGTGTGTGCAACCATGACACGGAGCAGTGTGTGTGTGTGTGTGTGTGTGTGTGTGTGTGTGTGTGTGTGTGTGTGTGTGTGTGTGTGTGTGTGTGTGTGTGTGTGTGTAATTAGGCAGGAACACGGATGATCACAGTGTTTCTCTTCCGTGTAAAAGTGTTATTTTGCGGTCTTGTCGAGGAGCCACAACACCAACACTCCAGCCCGGGGCTCCATCAGAGTTCGTTCTCTCGTTCTCTCGTTGTCATGGAGCTGGAAAGTGAAATATTATAACCCTTCTCTGTCGGGGGAGGTTGTTTGTTTTTCTGTTTAATCTGCGTCTTTTTTTGTGCATTTGGGTGAAAACTTTAAGCCTCTCTGTCCGGGTTTCATGTTGCACTTTTCTGCCTCTCTGTGCCGACACATGGAGGCGTGCAGAGTGAAATACTGACGCTCACATTTAGAGACGACATTTAGAAAGAAATTCAACATCTTTATGAAAAACATGAAACTGTTACTGCAGAGCACACTGTAACAGAAACCCTCAAATATCAGTCAGTGAATCAATCTTTACATTTTATTGTTCAAAGGCAGCGCGTTCCATTCTCAGTCAGGGAACGCTCAGCTGATCTGAAGGCTAAAAACAAAAAAACAGATCTGTGACCATGTCTAAAAATCTATTTTTATGAATACATCAAAGGCCGCACATAAAGGGGAGAGCTTTCTGGGTCCCGGGCACACGGGGGGGGGGGGGGGGGCAAACTTGGTCCGTCGTAATTGAAGTTAAGTCACAAGTTAGAGAACTTCTGTTGGAGTGAGTACAGCCACTCCTGGACGTGCACAAGGTTAGGATTCCAGGCTCGGGCATTTGACCCCAACAAGAACTCGATAACAAACATATTTCAGTCGTCTCCAAAAGGCTGATGGGAGCCAGGAGGCTAATGCTAACAGTACTGATTGCATGTGCATACGTTGATTTAAATCAGATCCTGTGAGGGCCTTTCACTGGACCTTTCAGGGGTCCTGCCATTTCTGTGGGCGGGCCTGCATACATGTATGCTAACCCCAGTGCGATAGTATGTGCATACATTCTGTGCAACAGAGCGATGTGTAATCACACCAGCATTTTAAAGTCACAGGCTCAACAGAATATATGCAATTTACACCAGTACTCCATAAACATGTGCAATACTGCAGCACTTTACCTCCTGTAGCAGAAATTTAAATCTGAAGGTAACTTTATCCTAGTTTGTTTTGAACATCACTCAGTCACTTTTGATGCTTGTAGAAATGTGTTGCTGTCAGGAAATGTAGGTTTATGTTGCTGTTTGATCGTGACTCGTTGTTTTTTGCAATAATAGGCACAGTTAAAAACAGTTCCAGAATCACAATTTGATCTTCACCACACTCACATTCACACCTATCGGGTAATTTAGAGTCACCAGTTAACCTAACGAGCATGTCTTTGGACTGTGGGAGGAAGCCGTAGTACCAGGAGAGAACCCACTCATGCACAGGGAGAACATGAACAGAACAGCCTGAAGCAGCAGCGGTGGACTCGATGAGCTGCAACACGGAGCTTTGAAAACTCTCTTTGTGTTTTATTTCCTGCAGCTGAATGTCTTTAACTATTATAATAATAATAATAATAATAATACATTTTATTTAAAGGCGCCAAGGTCACCTTACAAATCCGAGATAAAAACAACAAAGTAAAACAAAACGATACAATTAACATTAAAAACACAAAAAGACACAAATGTCCAGGATGTAAAGGAGTTATGAGACCGGGTGGAGAATGATCAGACTGAATAAGCCAGTTTAAAAAGATGTGTTTTATCAGCAGCACACCTGTGTTCCCACAGAGTCATGCAAAGGTCATGTGACATCAACTCTTTCTTCTTCTCCTGCAGATGAACAGATGAACACGGAGGAGAAGAAGAAGAGGAAGCAGCGCAGGAACAGGACCACCTTCAACAGCAGCCAGCTGCAGGCTCTGGAGCGAGTGTTCGAGCGGACACACTACCCGGACGCCTTCGTCAGGGAGGACCTGGCCCGCCGCGTCAACCTCACCGAGGCCAGAGTTCAGGTATGAACTGTGATGTCACTGCGGACTGCAACGGGGCTTATGTTACATCACCTGTCTGTGAGGCTGGCGAGGAATCATGGGAGTGATACTCCCTGCTACTACACCCCCCAGCCCCGATTAAACGACCTCCGAGTTGACCGTGGTCATGACGACCAGGTGAAACCGCCCTGAGTATAATTTACATGACGTTTTTATCACAGCAGCTTATAGAGCAACAGGACGGCAGCTTCCAGTAGCAGCTCACGCTTCCTCATGCAGCGGCCTTTGACGTAACATTCTGTGTTTCAGCGGCAACGATAAACATGTTGTGCCTGTCATGGCAGCACGACAAGACGCTTCCAAATTGAATTCATTAAATGATTATGATGAATTAGTTTGTGTTTTCCAGTGGGAAGCAGTAGCAGGGTGTCTTCATCTGTTAGCTCTCCCGCTAACAGATTCAGTTAAAATCATCCTCGGTGGCAACTCGTTATCAGGTCGTATTAACGAGCACGCTCAGGTGTCACGATGCAGTTTTCCCCCCTGATAAGAACTTGTCAGAACCTTCTCTCAGACTGAGACGTGATCTCTTAAGGAGCTGCAGAGGATTTAGAGTCTGCGAGCAGTTTGTGAACTCCCCCCAAAGGGCTGCATGTGATCACAAAGTGGATGTAATGACGTCTAATTTCCTCCGAGGTTTATAGATCAGTGATAAACGGCAAATGTGTTCCGCACATGAGCGCTGCAGCCGAACAGGAGCTAAAGATGAAGCAGTGATTGTCCAAATGAATGACATCACACCAACTAATACAGTCAGTCACAGAAGAGGGGGAAGGATTATTTTACACAGCTACATTTTCTACTCAAATTTAAGTTTTTGACGCTGAATATGGAAGTGCTTTTTAACCGGCAAATCAAAAAATATGAAATAAACAACATTGTGTAACCATGAATCACTTCCTGTCTTTGTAAAAGGGGACTTTTTGATCCAGAGCAGTGAGTCAGAATTTCATGCATTTGGGAAGTCAGCAGAGTGAAGTGGAAAACCAAATGAATCACCTAAATCCAAATAAACTCACCAACAAAAAAAAAAAGTTGATTGTTTACCTTCAGGATTCATGCACAGATTCTAAGGATTGCATGTTTAATGTTAAAGTACATTTATGAACCAGTATGATACCTTTCAACCTGAGCACATGCAAAAGATAAACTCAAGTGATTTAAGATTTAAGGTTAAAGAAGCTGACTGGGTCACAGTATTTGGAGTAAACATGAAATAATGAAGTGAGTGTTCAAAAAACTGTTTGCTTGTTGTCCTCTGATGTGCCCGTGCGTCCCTTTTAAACTTTTTGTGAGTCCGCCTGTCTTGTAGAGTAAGCGCAGACCTGCATGTGTTGTATTACGACCAAATGTACAAGAGGTAACCGTGCTCAGGCCCGGTCAGTCCCCTACCGACTCAGCCTTGTGTGAGTGCTCCCTTAAAGTCACTCTTAAATAACCCGCTCATCGTGATGGATTTTCCTGAATATTTCCTCCTGTGTTCTCACATCAGCTCACCCCAACTTCACACGTTAATTTTACCATTTTGTCAGGAAAAAGTCTGAGTTTTGTGCACGCTTGAAAGCTCTATCAGACTTTTTTTTTGTATTTAGGAAACAAAAGCAGCTGCTCTGTTTGATTAAAACAAAGTTTGCCAGTTTTGTAACATTTCAACATTTCACTGAATGAAAAAGAAGATCCTGCACGACGATGAACTCTGCAGAATCTGCACCAGAAAGGTCTTTGCATGAGTTCCCCATGCAGCCATTCAAAGCAACATTCACACATTGCTAGTGTTGACATGTTGCATTTAACTACTCAGCTCTTTAATTTGGCTATAAAATCAGGATCACATAGGTCGTATTTGCAAAAAAAAAAGAAAGCCACATGCTGATGCACCATCCTAAATCACAGCAGGGGAAAATTCCTGCAGCATGACAGCCTCCGTCAGCAGAACATCCTCAGTACAGCCCCCCAGAAAAGCTCCACCAATGAGATCGCTTTAGGGCAAACGTGTTGGTAGCCTGGCAGACAAAACTCAGGGAAAAGAAGACATGAATTCATATAATCAGAATTTCTTTCTTCTTGGTCATTACTGCTAAAAAACGAGGATGTTTGCAGAGAAAGCAGATTAAAATGAAAGGAGAAACATTGATTTTGAACGGAAAGGGGGGACATGCTACCTGTAACCCAACCTTGTTTATATCAATATGGTTTGAAATAAAAAGTATGTTCTCTTCTTAAAGGAAGTGTTTGAAAAGTCGATGCAACTCTTCCTCTGAAAGCATAGAGGCTTTGTGTTTCATCGTGATTTGCTGAAGAAATAAGAGTGTATCTGACGCTTTACCGAGGATAAATATGTCTTTAATTCTTTTTTGAAGTGAGAGAGTTAGCTGAGTGGACAGAGTGAGTGGGAAAGAGGAAACGGTGATGTTGGAGGGAGAGAGAGGCAGAACATCTGTGATTAATGTGGAGCAGAGCGCCATGCAGAAATCCTTTGATAACACAGACTTTGGGCTCATTCCTGAGGCCGTGCGTCAGCGAGCTGAGAGCCCCTGTGAGCGCCCACGGCTTCTAATAATGGATTTGATTTCACAGCGAGGAACAACGTTAGCACCCCCAGAGTCTCATCATCATCTGTTTAGCAAGGTGGGGGAGGAGGGGGAGGGGGGGTTGTTGTCAAGAGAAGGAGGGAGGTGGATGAGGTGTGGATGAAGAACGTGTTTTGTTCAGAAAATCCTCAGAAAAAGTTTCTCTTTTGTTTTTTGATCCGTCTTTACATCTTTGTGGTCTCTTTTTTCCTTTTGTTGGGAGTTTGAGTTCCACACAGACAGTCAGTCATGACATTAAAAACAGGTGACGAGTCCCTGCAGAAATACAACCAGGGACCGAGTCTGCAAAGGGTGCCAGACTCTTACCAGATGCTACCTTGTGCGTTTGTCTTAAAGAGAAGTCATAGGAGGGCTGTGATGGAGTTTGTGTTTTTTTTCCAAACTGCGGAGGAAGTTTGCACGATCATGCATGCAAGAATTTTTCACAAGATTTCATCGGAGAAGTTGAGGGTATGATGACGTCATGTTCCCACAAAAGTACCCAGAAATTCAAGTGCTAGGAGCGACTTTTTCTAATGTCTAAAAAGTTCTTTCAGATCGTTGTTGTGTATCTGCACCGCGGTCAAAGCTCTGCTTATGTTTGACTGAGTGAAGGTTGTTTAACTGGAAGGTCGAGGGTTTGATCCCCAGCTCCTGCAGCCACATGTCCAATGTGTCCTTGGACAAGACACATAACCCCAAGTTGCTCCTGCTGCTTTGTTAGTGGTGTATGAATGGAGCTAATACTGATGGACTCAGCAGCCTCTACCATCAGTGTGTGAATGTGTAGGTAGAAGAAATATACAAGCTCAAGTCCATTTACCAACTGGGGTAGCCTATCAGATTTCCAGGTTTCCCCTCTGGACACGCCCCTCGTCCATAGTTACCTCGTGTGTATACAGAAACTGTGTCTGACAACTCTCACTTTCCTTTCTTCAGATTGTTTTTGTAAGAGTTAACGAAGCCTGAAAACAAAACAGGCTCCACTTTAACAGTGTTACTCGGCCTGTGCATTCTTTAGGGATGGCAACAGAAAAAACACAAAAACAAACACGGCCTGATCTGAGATCATGCTGCAGTGTGACGACGATGTTCATGAGTTTGATTTACTGAAAGCTGTTAACACCTCATGAACAAATAATCCTTCATAAACCAGAAACACACACAAAGAACTCTGCTCATTTCAAGCCGCCATTTTCAGGGTGTTTATTTTAGCTCTTAGAAGCTCTTAAATATTTATGTAGGATTTTTCATGTCCACATCTGGACCTACATGTAGCTTGGCGTTTGTAAAGATTAATCCATGTTTGCAGCATCGTCTCATCCGTCACCCTGCGCGTCTCCTCTCTTCTTTGCAGGTTTGGTTTCAGAACAGGAGAGCGAAGTTTCGCAGGAACGAGCGCGCCATGCTGGCCAGCAAAAACGCCTCCCTCCTCAAGTCGTACTCCGGAGACGTGACGGCGGTGGAGCAACCGATCGTTCCGCGTCCAGCACCGCGCCCAAATGACTACCTGTCCTGGGGCAGCGCCGCCCCCTACAGGTAAAATCCACTCTGCTTTTTTTTTTTCTTCTTTGGTGTTCACATCACAACGGGACGCTTTAAGTTCACTGTTTCTGTACTAACGACTAACACTGAAGATAAAGGCAGCCAAACGTAAAGGTCATATATTATTCTAAATCCACTCTGATCCTGTATTTGATCATGTCTATAAACCCCTCTATTTCAGCCCTGCTCAGAACAGGCTGTTTCTGTGTCTGTACCTTTAAATATGTAAATGAGCTGTGTCTGACCACGCCCCCCTCTCTGGAAGGGCTTGGCTGTACTCAGTCTTTCTCGCTCCATGTCCTATTGTTTACGGTGAGAAGGCAGACTCAGAGGGCAGAACAAACACCTAGCTGTGGGAGTGTCACCCACCTGGGGGAGGGGCTACTGCCCTTTGTGATGTCATGAAGGGAAAACCTCCAAATGGCCTGTTTGAGCACACATTTTCTGAAAAGTGGAGCAGGCAGAAGACGGAGAGGATGGACTTTTCTCATCATTGGGGGGTTTGTAGACAGACTAGAGACACATATTAGTGTTAGAGGAACATTTAGGATAGTATGTGACCTTTAACCCTTTAAATCATTCCCTTAATTATTGACCCTCAGCTGGCGTTGAGCTGCACGTTTTAGTTGTGTGACAGTAATGATGTCACTGTCGAGAGCGAGAAGTGTCTGACAGGTTTTCTAATTGTGCCGAATGAGTGCACTATGAAGTCGACAACATGTAGGACCCTATGAAGGGAGGAGGGAACGAGTGTGTGAGTTCGGACACAACCTTAAAGAACGAGTGAAAACAGATTTAAGGAGAGTGGAAAGAGAACAGCCCTGAATTCAGGACTTATGGAATCGTTGGAGGAAGAAAAAACAAAGAGGAAAAATTAAAAGTGAAAGTGGAAAGAACGTGTCAGATATTTAAAAAAACAGCGTTCAGTGAAAAGTGGTCGAGTGTAATTGATTTCTGGAGTTCAGTTCAAACAGAAGCCTGCAGAACGTTCTGTCCGTTCTCTGCTGCTGAACATTCATTCACATCCAGCGAGACCAGAATAACCATGTTAACGCCGCCGTGACACAAACACACACACACACACACACACACACACACACACACACACACACACACACACACACACACACACACACACACCGTGCTCTGTGTTATTGTTTCATTTCCTCCTCCTCCTCTACCTGCACATACTCCTCATAGTTTCTCTGAACGTCTTCATCTCCTCGGATCCACCTGGGCTCAGCACAGTGTTCTCTCTCTCTTTTTTTATCATTCAATCAAACTTTATTTAAACAACAAAACGCGACAAACAGAAACTTTAAAGCCAGTTACAGAGTCATTCTGTATTTTACACGTCCTCCAAAGCGTCAGTGAGGGGCCTTTCAGATGGGATGCTGTAAGCGCCGCACAACGCTGTCAAAACCATTCATCGTCTATGTGTTGCTAGGGGCGCGAGCGTACCGCTGTACCTTCTTCAGAGGTGGTTACAGAGGCGAGGCGGGATCAGCTCTCTTTCGCTTGCAGCAGCTTTTTGAATTTAAAAAAATGGCAGACGATCTGTTGTTATTTAAAAGCATTTGTACTTCTCAAAACTATTTGACGATTAACATGACAAAAGATGTTGTTGTTCTAAAACTTGTGAGATCACAAAGTTTGCCAACCCTTCATTTTTAAATGATTAAAAATAGAGCCAAGGTCACAATGAAAAGCTGAGATTCATCGCTGTGCGTTTTCCTTTCTCTCTCTCTCTCTCTCTCTCTCTCTCTTTCTTTCTAAACTCTGCTCTGACGTCCCTGCAGACACGTTTCCCCCTCGCCCTGTTTCTCTAACCGTCATCTCTCTGCACATTTCTAACTCCAAACTAATTATGTTGAATGAAAACACCCTTTTCCTCTCCCTCGCTCCCGTCCCTCGTGCTCTGTCAGCATGAGCGAGTGAGCGAGGGAGAGGGCGAGCGAGCTGGGGGGGGCCCGATGCTGTGACCCCTCCTGATGAGGTGATAATGTGAAAACAAAGCGTATTAAATCCCCCGTTGACCCCGTGTGACCCCCTCTGTGCTACACTACAGCAGAGAGACAGAGCTCTACTGGGCAACATTTTTTGTGACTCTGGTTACATTGGTCGTGATTTACTGTAATCCTCCGTTATGAAACTCGGGATCAAATGTCAAAGCCTGCGGCCTGCGGCTCCAACTCACTCTGAAGGGGTTGTGTAAGCGGACGCAGAAAGCGGAGAGGGGAAGTTCTGATGTGGAATAATGCTATGTGGAAGAGGCTAATGTGGTGCTAACACTTCCCTGTATATTATCCTAAAGCTGGTATCCGATGCCGGAGGGGGGGCCAGTGCGGGTGCCACAGAAAATGCTGCCCTCAGAGAACAAGTACGCTTTCCCTTTTACTACATTCACTTCTTAAACTGTTGAAGAAAAACACAGCCGCATGCTCCTTGAAGGGAAGGATGTTGCTGTGTTTTCACATTTCTGAGTTTTTAAAAAAGCCTTCTTTGATTCGTTTTCTGATTTGTTTGATTTTCTTTTTTTCTGAATGTTTTTGTTTCAGATTTATTTCAGCTTGATCGCTAAAAGGATCCCTCGGGTGTTTTTGCACATTTCTGCTGCTTTTCTAAAGAGAATTTATCTGTTATTTTTGAACGCAGTAAAAACAACAAATCCTGCAGATTAAAAGCTGCTCGGAGAATCCATCCGGGAGCAAATGTGCTTTTTATTTTCTATTAAATCAAGTGATGGTGCAGAGAATCTCACATGCAGCGCTTTAAAAACTCACATCACAGTTTATCCACATGGTTTAAAAAACAACAAATATCAGAGAAGAAGAGAAACAAAATAAAACAATGCGACTTGCCGAGGCTGAGGTTAGAAAATACGGATGTGTTGTGTTTGCAAAAAGAGAAATTCCTGCAGCACATTCAGAGTCATTCAGTTCAATTCTTTATTTATTCTGGAAGGGGCATCGAGGTTTCTCACATTTCCAACGTTGTCGAGATTACATGCACATTAAAACAAGCAAAACAACAACACACACTTAAAATCAATGACAGAAACAACTGAGATCGTTTAAAACGTCGACAGTTGGAAACAACGTGTCTAAACTCTGCAAGAGAGGGACGGACTCCGACCTTCAGAGTTTACTGGAGGGCTTTCAGTCAATTTGAGGTCATCAAAAGAAAATGCAGATTTACAGAGGTTTAGGGAAAGCTTGAGGGACTTTAAGAACGAGCCAATCAGAAGAACGGGTCATGTAGGCGCCTGATTTCCACTCCAACAGGTCTGTGATGTGAGGAGGGAGGGCCTTGAAAATCTTTAAAAACCGGTGCTTGCTGCACCTCAGAAGGCAGACCGACCTTCTCATGCAGGTCACAGTGAGGAGGGCGTGTCGATAAATTCATTAAAAATAGGATGAAATGCAGATAAGTGTAAACACTTATTTAGACAGAGGGAAGGTTTCATGGTTGTGTGTGTTGACTCTTAAAAGGATGAATAAAAAGTTAAAGATATGACACGATGGCGATCGGGGAGCAGACATCACGACGTCACTTTGACCTCAGACCACAAACATGTTTAGTTTTTAACCTTTGTTGAGTGACTACTGACACGGACTGAAAAGAAAGTCTGCATGGATCCCCGACGCTTGAGTTAAGAAAGCAAACAAGTCAATAAATCATGTGTAGAGAGAGAGAGAGACTAGAGAGAGAGAGAGAGAGACTAGAGAGAGAGAGAGAGAGAGAGAGAGAGAGAGAGAGAGAGAGAGAGAGAGAGAGAGAGAGAGAGAGACTAGAGAGAGAGAGAGAGAGAGACTAGAGAGAGAGAGAGAGAGAGAGAGAGAGAGAGAGAGAGAGACTAGAGAGAGAGAGAGAGAGAGAGAGAGACTAGAGAGAGAGAGACAGAGAGAGAGACTAGAGAGAGAGAGAGAGAGAGAGAGAGACTAGAGAGAGAGAGAGAGAGACTAGAGAGAGAGAGAGAGAGACTAGAGCGAGAGCGAGCGAGAGAAAGAGAGAAGATGTGAGGATGTAAGAAACACCTCAGTACTTCTCAAAATGTGAAAAGAGAAGAAAATGTAGATACAAAAAATCAGACAAGGACGCAAAAATCATATTAAGTTGACAAAGTTATAGGAGGAAAATTAACGCTGAACTCGTAGACTATAGATTTTAATGCACAAAGCCTGAGTGATGTCACCGGGCGCTGGAGTCCCCTCGATGGCGGTCTCCATGCTGGAAATGCTGTCTCAGTCTAACTTTCAGTCAACCTAACGACAGGCTGAGAGCTGGAGCTGAGGCGGGTTTTAAACCTCCTGACAAACCGTTACACCCGCCCACCTGTCAATCAGGTCAGCTACACGCCTTATTGTGAATAACTCTTATCCTTCATCAAATCAAAACTGATGAGTCATCAAAACATTCACCCCCCGTACAGTGTGTGTCCATCCAGACATGAGCTAATCACACCTATTTGGGTTTTTGAACCAGGCTGTAAACATGTTCATCTCTGCTGTAAAAACAGGCTTTTTAGAATGGGTGTGTATGTGACTTCCTGTGCTTCTGCAGCCAGCCTCTAGTGGACACTCCAGGAACTGCAGGATTTTACACTTCAGCATCGGCTTCATGTTTCAACACCGGAGGTCGCTGCTTTGTTGACCTCTGGAGGTTCAATTAGGTTCGATTAATTAAAAGACTCACTATTTAAAAAAAACAGCTCAGTACTCCACGACTGAGACTGAGAGAGTCACCTGACGATACCACATGACCAGTTTCTTCTTCTTCTGTTGTCAAAGCAGATCCGACCCTGCCCACTAAAACAAACTCTTTGATATCTCGCTCCATAAAAACACGTCCAGATGAGTCAAGGCATGCGGATAAAAGTGCTGTTTTTAATTTAACTACATGAAAGCCAGAGTCTGGTGATGATGTGCGCCTCGTTAAATACAGAATAAGGCGTGCTCTGTGTGTGAAACTGACGACTGCTGACTGATGAAATGGGAGAGACGACGTCTTCTTCTCCTGAGCTGTTTGTGAGTTAGACCTGACCTGAGTTACTCGAAAAAGAAACTCTAAAATGTGCATCGATAAAGCTTACATTCCTGAACAACGGGATGTACGGTCAGATGAAATGTGCAAAAACACCGGTTAAAGGGGCGGTCCTGTATCTTCTGTTAATCCATGTCACTCCTGCAGGTTTCTTCAGCAGGTGAAACAGGCTGTAACGGCTGCAACCTGATCCACTGCAGAAAATTCATCCGATAAAAAAAAAGTGTCTTCTAAAAAGTTGTTTTTGACCCTGACAGGCTCAGACTGTTGTTCTAAGTCTGTGACATCATGACGGAGAGATTAGCTACAGATTTGGGTGTTTTTAACCACAAACACTGGTTACATCGCTATCCTAAAAAGCAACCAGACTCCATCGACAAAAACATGAATTTTGACCTCGGAGATCGCAACGAGTTTTTTGCTCCTCTGCGGCTTTGATCAGTTTTTGTGTGTGTGTTATAAACACCACATTTCCATCCATCCATTATCTATGCCGCTTTACCTGTTAGGGGCCAAGGGGGGGGTGGAGCCGATCCCAGCTGTCATTGGTTCAGAGGCGGGGTTACACCATGGACTGTTCACCAGCCAATCACAGGGCTGACATCTAAAGACAAACAACCAACCACCATGCAGCCAAATCTACACAGTTGCACAATACTTTTTTTTTTGCACGTGAGGCAGCTGTAGATCAGCAACTCCTGTTTTCATCAAAGTTAAATGAGAGTTTTTGTGAGTCTGGTGGCACTGAAGAGAGCGATGAAGTAACACGGACCACATAGTAATCTGAGTACTCAGATTACTTTTTTGTAGCGATGAGTCAGGTAGCGCGTTAGTTCCTCAAATCAAGTAATCAAGTTTTTCATCAAAGTAATCTGTTACTGAAAATAATGCTGCATTTCCAGAGGTGTCAAGTAACTAAGTACAAATACTTCGTTACCTTACTTAAGTAGAAATTTTGAGTATTTATACTTTACTGGAGTAATTATTTTTCAGCCAACTTTTTACTTCTACTTTTTAAATTTTCACTCAGTTATCTGTACTTTCTACTCCTTACATTTTAAAAATAGCCTTGTTACTCCTATTTCATTCCGGCTTGTCATCGTTAAAAAAAAAACACACAAAAAAAAAAAACTTTTCCCAAATGTTTCAACATTAACATTTTAATATAACATTATAGTCATTATGGCCTTTAGAAAAATGTTTTTTTGGGGAGGTGGGGTAGTGCACTATAGACCCCTGTGGTGCGGCCTAAGCTTTTGTCCTTAATGGCATTTTTTCCCCCTTACATTACTTTTACTTTTATACTTTAAGTAGCTTTGAAACCAGTACTTTTACATTTTTACTTGAGTAAAAAGCTTGAGTTGATACTTCAACTTTTACAGAAGTCTTTTTAAAGCCTAGTATCTATACTTCTACCTGAGTAATGAATGTCAATACTTTTGACACCTCTGTGCATTTCCCCTGCTTCCTTTTATTTTACAAAAAGGTCTCTCTCTGTAGGATCCTTTCTGTGATGTTGTCAGACTCTTAGAATAACTACCGGAGCCTGCAAGGGACAAAAACCAAACAACTCTTAATGAACGCTCTTTAATCGAGAACCTTCATCTGTTACAGCCTGCCTCACTGCTGCAGGCTGAAGAAATCTCCTGGATCTGTTTCATTCTCTCTTTGCACCTTTTAGACGTTTAAACTTCAAAATATGTCCAAACAGGGCCGAGTTTGGAAACACTCGAGTCACACTTTAAAGTTGCTTTGAGTCGTTTTCTGGCTGCGAGTGTGTTAACGTCACATTTCATGTAAATCCTTTTCACACTTTTTTCTGCATATTTCCACAGCTGCGGCTCACGCTGAGCTTCAGCTCGCCGTCAGACTCAGGTGATGTAACCTCTTTCCCCTCCTCTCTCCTGTCTTCCACCTCCTCTTGTCTCTCAGCACCATGGCAACCTACCCGCCCACCTGCTCCAACAACAACACGTCCCAGGGAATGAACATGGCCAACAGCATCGCCAACCTGCGGCTCAAAGCCAAGGAGTACAGCTTGAACCAGGTGCCCACGGTCAACTGAGAGGAGGAGAGGCGAGGGGCGGGAGGGGGGCGGGAGGGGGGGGGGACCCCTGCAGACTTACACCGTCTCTGGATCATGAAGCCTCCTCTCCTTCCTGGAGCCTCGGTGGTGTTTTCACGCCTTTATGCAAAAAAAAGTTGGAGAGCGAGTGATGACAGGATTTTCCCTGAAACGCCTTTTTTTTTTTTTTTTTTTTTACTCCTCCTGAGCGTCACTGAACTCATATTTGTACAAAAAAGACATCTGGACTGGATGCTGTAGCCGAATATGTGTGTAGTTTTTTATCGTGTCATTGTGACTGAAATTCATTTTTCATAAAATAATTGTGCTTTTATCGCCGGAGACTCGTGTACGGACTACGTGGAGTTCCTTTTTTGTGTGCCTTTGGCCGCGGTGTTGGATCAACACCTCCTTTAAACCCCACAACACTTCCTCTGACATTTACGCTTTTTTTTTTTTTTTTTTTTTTTTTTAGAAGATCATTTTGTTGTTTTGTTTCCATGTTATACCACTGACGAGTTTCATGTAATAGTCCAGTATAAAGGAGAGGCTAATGTATTTCTGATTCCAAGAGCAGAAGATTCTCTCTCTTCATTTTCTATGATATCCTTTTAATTGTAACAGAATAAAAAAACGTGTATATTAATAAAAGATGCATTTCAAGCAATGCGCATGGCAAAGTGTCCAATTCCACCATGTCAACCCGTCTGATCCTGCAGGGGGCGCTGGAGTCCCATTGATGGCGGTCTCCAGTGTAAATAAGTCTCAGAGCTCCTCAAAACATGTGTGAAGTTTCTTGTTCTAAATCCACTCTGATCCTGTATTTGATCATGTCTATAAACCCCTGCTCAGAACAGGCTGTTTCTGTGTCTGTACCTTTAAATATGTAAATGAGCTGTGTCTGACCACGCCCCCTCTTTGGAAGGGCTTAGGTGCTTTCTCGCTCCATGTCCTATTGTTTACGGTGAGAAGGCAGACTCAGAGGGCAGAACAAACACCTAGCTGTGGGAGTGTCACCCACCTGGGGGAGGGGCTACTGCCCTTTGTGATGTCATGAAGGGAAAATCTCCAAACGGCCTGTTTGAGCACACATTTTCTGAAAAGTGGAGCAGGCAGAAGACGGAGAGGATGAACTTTTCTCATCATTGAGGGGTTTGTAGACAGACTAGAGACACATATTAGTGTTAGAGGAACATGGAGAAGTGGGTTTTACAGAATATGTGACCTTTCATTTTGAAGAGAAGGGGGAACAATCACTGAGCGTTAGTAGAGAGTGAATTCAAAGTGTTTTTAAATCGTCATGAAACAATAAAATGAGAACTCAGCGTAACAGTCAAGTTTCAGAAACATGAGGAAGTTAAGTGTGTTTACAGTTTGGAGAGCTGGATGATGTCGGCCCTCGTGCTCGTCCCCATAAAAGAAAGATTTACAGCACGAGGGCTGACTCTCCCTCGCTGAAAACTCAAGCTGTTCCTGCTTTGTGTGTTTTCTTTTTTCCCGCTGATTACCCCAGAAGTGAGATTTCCATCTTTAAAAAAGAGAAACGGGATATTTATGAGCAGGGAAATCCTCTCCTTAATATGGAGGGCCCCGGGGCCTCATTGAAGCTCCGCGGCTGTCACACAAAGGTGTTTCTTCTTCTCACCCCTCTCGTAACCTCTCGCCGTCAACAAACACATGTCGACACTCGTCTTCCAGCGGCTCTCACGGGCAACAAGCGAGGAGCCGGGTGAGACGGCGGCTGATGTTGAAGAGTTTTGATCGTTCCAGAAAGTGTGCCGACTCGAGCATGTAGCTTTTGGAATCATACTCAAGTGAAGTTTGTTGTTTACTGCTTCAGATTGTTCCGCTCTGCTGCTCCGTCCTGAACCAAACTCCATTCAAAAAGCTTCACGTTTAACTTCATTTGCAGATAACGAACATCTCACACGTCCTGAAACTTCATCTACACTTTAAGTTAAAATTACATCGTCTTCTGCTCAATTTGGCTTTTAAAAAAAACACTAAATCTCTCTCTGATCGTCTCTGCTTTGTGTCTTCTTTCCTGAAGTGAAACTAAGTTTAATTCTTTAAACGTCTGTTGTCAGTTTCTCTGTTTCTTCATGTCGTGTTTTAGCGCTCTTTCTTTAGGATAAATGTCACACTTCATGAGAGTGTTTTCAATTCTTTAGAGGCGTCAGAGTTTAAGTCTGACAGATTCAGATTCTCTTCAGAGCTGACTAAAGATCTGTGTGGTCAGGTAGAAATTTTCTGTCTTTGATAATGTCAGGATGTGATGACCCGTATCGTCTTGATAAATTCAAGTCTACAAAAAAATTAGTTTGAAGTGATTTTAGGAAACTTTTCTCCTGCGCTGTCGCTTGTTTCCTGACGTTAAACTGCTTCAATCATCCGTCATCACTTATCCAGTTGTTCCTCTCGCGATCTGCTTCATTATTTATCAAGTGCAACTCATTCTAAGCAAGTTTAACATTTTTATTAGAGACTTTATAGCTCGGATAGTAATGTCTGTACAATCTTTACAGTTTCAGATTTGAGCTTTTAAAGGAGAAAAAGTAAAAAAAAAAAGCCTCCAGGATGCAGGACAGAAATCTTCAAAAACAGAAGCTGCATGATGAATGTTTGTAATAATCTGATAATTTCTCCTCTCATTAGAAATCCCTTTAACTGATCTGATTTTAGAACCCTTTTTGGTGGTTTTCATTTGCTTTACGTCTAATTCTGAAGATCAAACTGCTTCACGTGTTTATTATGTTTTTACTTTGACTCTGTAGTCGATCTTTTTGTCCTCTGCACTAAATGAAATGATGTATTTCAGGAGTTACGGTCTCTGCTCGAGGCCGAGTCGACGCTTCATCGATGTGTTTGAAGGGTTTTGTCCGAACGTCTCCGCCACATAAAAAAAAGGGATATTTCTGTTTATTTTGCAGCCGTTTTATTCTCTGCGCTCGCTTGTTTTTCCTGATCGTTGATCCCTGACTGTGGTATGTCCAGTGTCAAACCCACCGCCCCCCCCCCCCCCTCTCCCCTGCCAGGCGCCCGGTCTCACCTTTCACGGCCAGGACCGGGGCTGACCTGAAGTGATTCCAGATGTGGAGATCTTTTTGACCCCCCCCCCCACCCGTCACCTCCTCCCCCTCCCCCTCCTCCTCCCCCTCCCCCCTCCCCCCTCGCCCCTAGGCTCTGGCCGGCCACTCCATCAGGCCTGACAGCGTCCCCTCGGACAGCGTCTCTCCACGCCTGAGCACATGACATGCAAGGCAGCTACCCCCACCACCACACCCCCCCCCCCTCCTCCTCCTCCCCCGGCCTCACCCACCCACCCCATCCTCAGCAGCACATCTGGAGCTCATTACAGAGGAGACAGTGAGAGCGAGGGAGGGGCGGGGAGTCTGCGTGCAGAGTGTGTGTGTGTGTGTGTGTGTGTAAGAGAGCGGGAAAGAGTTTCTTAACCCCTCTGACTTAAAACATCCACCTCCTCCTTCTCCTCTTTTATCTCTTTTCTCCTCGTTTCTTCCCTCCTCCTCCTCTTCTTCCTCTGTGTCTCTGCACCCCCTCCCTCTCTGCATGCGGCGATCTTTGTGCCACATGATCACAAATACTTTATTAATGAGTGGTTTTGGAAGCGAGCTCGGCACAGAGAGAAGAATCTCTCTCTCTCTCAGAGTGAAATACTGCACAGCTGTTAACAGTGTGTGGTTTGGGTGAACAACCAAAAGAATGTCCCGAGATGTGGAGTTTCCACGCAAAGTCGAGTTGACGGAGAGGTTGCACTGTTTGTGTGATTAAGTCACTATTATTACACACTCTTCATAAACACACACACGCACGCTGTAACGCACCCTCTGCAGGGCCCGTGAGGGAAACATAATCAGCTTCAAGCTGCCTTCTCAAGGTTAGCGCTGATCACCATATGGACCGTTCTCTCATCGCCGCAGACCGCTTCTTCCTTTCATTCAGGACGTTTTAAAACGTTTGCTGCTTTTTTCCTGAAAACAAGACACTAACTCTCTCTGATGACCACCGACTTCTCCTGAAAGTGAAAACAGGATTTCAGATTTATTTAATGACTTCCTTTAAATCATGTCAAGGTCAATGGGAGATCTCGATTAACTACAGAAAGCAGCACAGAGCTTCTTCAATTCATGTTTGACGTTTGTGCAGAGCATCTTTCCCTCCTGTGTTTTAGAAACGGAGTGTACAGAGAGTAAAGACGTCTGGTGATTCAAACAAAAGTACTTGTCTAGTTTTTTCGTTGCATTGAAACCCCTCTCTCCGACTTCGATATCCAGGGTCAAAGACAACTTTTGTTACTTTCCAAACACATGTATGTGCTGATTAACTTTGAGAATCATAGAAAATATCTATTGCAGAATCTTTTTCTTTGTCAATGTGAAGTGTGAAATTAGTTATATTGTTTTTTTGATCGAAAGTATGACCAAAGTCTTGACCAAAAAAACAAACAGTTTGGGGAACTTAGATGACAAAGTAGAACAAGCTCAAACATTTACGTCTAAGTCCCATATAAAAATGATCCTAACTGACATATGGCATGTACATTCAGGACTTAACGTCCTTCATAGTTTATTAAAAAAGCCTCCTTGTAGTTTTTAAAACATAATCCAGAAGTATTGATACTTAAAAACACATTTTTGGTAAAGCTCCAAAACGACGACGATTAGATGCCAAAACTACTCGGTTAGTTTTAAGAAAAGATGATTATGACAAAAAAAATTGACTTTTAAGTTCACATATCCTCCTCTTCTTCAGTGTAAATAAGTCTCAGAGCTCCTCAAAACATGTGTGTGAAGTTTCTTGTTCTAAATCCACTCTGATCCTGTATTTGATCATGTCTATAAACCCCTCTATTTCAGCCCTGAACAGGCTGTTTCTGTGTCTGTACCTTTAAATATGTAAATGAGCTGTGTCTGACCACGCCCCCTCTCTGGAAGGCTTGGGTGTACTCGGTGCTTTCTCGCTCCATGTCCTATTGTTTACGGTGAGAAGGC